CTCCAACAGGTCCGTGTCTTTCTTATGCTGAGGGCTCCAGAGCTGGACACAGTACTCCAGGTGGGGTCTCACCAGAGCAGAGCAGAGGGGCAGAATCACCTCCCTCGACCTGCTGGCCACGCTTCTTTTGCTGCAGCCCAGGATACAGTTGGCCTTCTGGTCTGCATCAAATGTAACACCTTGTCAACAGAACAAAGAAAGTACATTTTTATTGAATTGTAATACATTGTATGGCTTTATAGAGTTTTGCTGCTAACTACTTCTCTAGGTTGTCCGTCATTAAGCTGAAATATCTGCATTACATGCACTGTGGCTTGGCATTAAAAAAAAAAGAAGAAAGGAACCCATAAAACATTCATATTCTTGTACCATGGCAAAGGTCAATACAGGGACTGGTTTCTAATTTCTGGTTCATGATACAAAACATTTTTTTTCTCTCCTAAATCTGATTTAACTAAGGAAAAAAATCCTAGAAATAATTTTGAATTGGAATGCTGATTTTATAGTGAATTTAGTGAAGATACTTAAAAGGGAGAGCTCTCAGTTTAAAGCTGCTGTCATCGTGTCTTTGCACAGAGATAGCACAGGGTATCGGTATCTGTCTCTGTCCCTCTTCCTCTTCGATGCTATATTTATCACCCCTCTGGCCATAAAAGGTCTGGACTGGGGCTCTGACATTCCACTGACTGCAGGCATTATTTTTGTTCTGGACCTTGAAGTCCAGTCCTTACCCCTCGTCCTGACTACCTCTTTCTTTGCTGGCTTCATCATTGCTGTATTTTTCTGCTATTCATCCACTTGATAGCTATTCCATTTGCTGCCATTCATTTGGGCCCTGGTAAGTGTTCCTTTATGACAGAAGATTTTATGTGTTCAAATATTTTTAATCTGAATCTGTAATGCCACGTTGATAGTAGCTCCCTTTATTCTTCTCAGCTCAGCAGTTATTTGAGGGACTTGTGGGCATGAACTGAAGACATCTGAGGGTTCAGCTGTGAAACAAAGCAAAGTAGTGCAAGGGTTCTCTTATTATCAACTCAAATATCCTTGCATATTGTCACAGTACTCTCAAATGAAGCACGGCTTACTGAGATACAGGAGGAATTTCTCATGTAACCTCCTTTGGGCTTAAAGAATGTGTAAATAATCTAAATATTTTCTAGTTGCGTAGCATGTCTTGTGATTTGTAAAGCCACTGACTGAGCTGAAGGAAATGTTGTAATTTTTTTTCCCGCTTATAAGTGTTTCTGTTTTTTATGTATTTCACTATTTTCACTGATTGATGGAGTAGATCTTTAAAGAATTACACAGACTTGTAAACAGTGCAAGAGGTAATGCAAATAAAATCACTTCCTTTAATGTGTAGCCACGACCTATGAACAAGTACAGAACTGTCTGTCTGCTCAGTAGTCATTTTGAAAATTCAGTTCAACAGCTGCTAACATATGGCTCTAAACCCTGCATATTCATCTAACTATGGCCACTAATATTTTTAGGCCAAGCTCTGCAGTTATGAAATCCTACACAGATCTTGAGAGGGAGTGTTGCCCTCACACTAAAGGGGGCTGATCAGTGGACACAAACTAAGTAGGTGCAGGTAGCATGGATTTTATAAAACTTAAGAGACGGGAGTCAACCTGATAATCAGACAGTGCTCCAAATAGGAGCAAAATCCTTACAAGGTTCAGAGTTTCTTGTCATCTCCAATAGCGTCTGATCTATATCTGATCAGACTAGTGTAACTAACTGATCCTGACCTGTGAGCAACGCTTGATGTTTCAGAGGAAATATAAAACACAACTCAGTGTGTGACAAAATACCTATAAAAGGAGTTTCCTCTTACATGATGTGAGCAAGAGTTGGCCTTTGATTTGAACCAGGAGAGCTGACTTCGTGCTCAGCTCCTGCCTTACTGCCTTAGTTCTTACTCCTATCATAGACTCCCCTTCTTACTCCTGAGGACAGTGAGGTCCAGAACTTTTATGTTTGGAAGAAAAAGGTTGCCTCTGTACATTTTAAATATGCTGACTTTAAGTCCGCTGCTTGTTCTTTTGCTCTGATAAGATGTCAATGAAATGCCTCATTTAACTTCTCCTTAATGGGCAACACATGCAGTGCTTTATACTTTTGGATCACCTTCCTTACTTTGAAGCCTGGAAGGTTGTGGGAATCCCTGAGCAACAGGACTGAATGGCTGTTAGCATTGTGGCTGTTGTATCCGTGATGAAGCCAGCCAACGCTGCAAATAAAGCTGGTGAAGACGAAGGGAGACAACTGTAGTACTCTACAGAAGGAAACCAGGATGTTCTCATGTTCTTTCCCTTTCAGTGTGCAAGACAATACTCGTCTGTACGCCTTAACTTTGCTCAGCAGAGATCACAATGACTTGCAAACCCTAAACCTAGCTCTGTGGAGCTGGGAGAGAAAGCAATGAAGAAAAATGGAGAAGAAATCTTCTGAAACTAGGGAAATTAAGAGGAACTACATACTACCGAAAGCTAACGAAGTGGCATAAATAACAACACAAGATATTGATAGGTATTAGAAACAAGGATACTAGACAGAATAATTGCATTCTTTAGACTTACATGAAAAAATAGCCAGCAGGAGAAATAAGGGAATTAAAAAGGAACATCAGTTTTTGCCATAGAGAACAATGGGCTAACACTCTTTCCCATTCCTCCCCCTTCCTCAGATAAAAATAAAGTAAATGCATAAACTGGTCTCCTTGAAGTCACAGTTTAACTGTGGTCAGGATATCAGCAATTTCTTTTACATACTTAAAAACTTCCGAATGACTTTCTTACTTGTTGACTTTCTGCAAACAAGTGATCTGTTCTGTTATCACACAAAGAACAGTTCCCTTGAGAGAGCCCTGAAATATAAGAAAGATGAAACATTGGGGTTTTTTTTCATAATTTGCCTTAGTCAGGGTGAGTACCTGAGCAGTTACCAAAGAGAATAGTTTGCAATTTGTTGACTTGCTATCAGAACCAAATACTAAAGAAAAAGCCAAGGACTGAAATCTAGGAAGCATAAAGACCAGGGAAAATATCTTGATTTTCATGAAATCATGATTGCACTCCAGCTCTGTAAGTGTATTTTATGTCAAAACATCAGATCATTGTTCATTAACACGAACAAAACCAGAAGCAGAACAAGTCTCCTATTGTTGTGATTGATGTTAAAAAAACCCAGTAACAAACACCTCTCACCATTGTTTTTTGGATCTTCTTTAAATTCTTCTAAACATTTCCCCATTGTATCTCATTTCTATTCATAATCACGTACCTTTTCAGGGACAATCCTAGCTGTGTTGTAAGCCTAATCACCGGTGATAAGAGAAAGAAAGGTTATCATAGGGATTAGTAGAGGCAAACTTGCATGTCGAAGAAGAAAATGTCAGTTTTAACAACAGCAAAATAAAACAATAACAAAATAAAGACTGAATTGCCAGCTTAAAAAAACACAAGGGAAATCCTTTCTGCACTCAAACCTCATCCCATTTTGAGAGGGGAACTACCTCTCACCTGATCAAATTTCCTACTACAAGCGACTGCAAGACAATCTACTGATGACTGTGCAAAGTAAAACTTAGATGGGGCTATCATCTGGAGGAATTTTCTTGATGATCTTGACCATGACATTCTAGGTTAAAAAAAAGGGTCATTTGGACTGAGGAGTATGATATTATTTTACTCATTGCATACAGACTGTATCCCTGATTAAACTGTAAAAGTATGATAAGCCATTTTAAATGGATCTCTGGTATCACATACAAAATAATCAATGTAATGCATGTTTACAGAAGTGACATCCTTCTCAATCTTAATGTTTTTAATTCACTGTTAAAATATTAAATGGAATATTAAATTCAATCTGAAAATTGGATTACGAAAATGAATGAAATGTTCATATATTTTTATTTCAGCTTATATAGCCTTGTTGGAATTGCTCATGCCTTTTAAAATAATTTATTACTTTATTCTCTCTTTTGTAATTCAAGAAAAATTTTTACACTATCTCTGAAGAAGCTGAGCACATAAAATTTCATTAGTTCGCAGTAATGAGTGGAGAAGTTGAGCACGTAAAACTTGAATAGTTTGCAGTAACAGGGAGACCAGCTACAAATGAACGGACACAATAGTGCAAGGTTTTCTGGTCATGATAAATGACATATGAGCATCTTAAAACTTAAATACGAACCTATCTTAAAGTCTAAAACACATCACAAAAAAATAACCCTAAATTAATTGCATTTGATTTTTGAAGTTTTAAGTTCTGTGTTAGTTTGTATTAAGTTGTGTATTATTTGTATTCTAACTCAGAATTTTCTTTGACAATAGTCCTTATGTTTGATCTGTTCCTTTTCAGACACTGTCCTGTTTAATTACACTCAGAAACGTGCAGTAAAAAACAAAATTAGAAGACACCCATGATGTCTTTACCTTTCTACCAAAGACACCATGAGCACTATGACCGTGCGTACCGCCATAAAGCACTGCAGTCCACTGTAAGCCAGTACCAAAAGGAAACAAAGAGCAAATCCGCGGTCTATGCTCAAGGATCTGCAGCTTACGCTAGGGGCTCTGCAGCTTATCGCCATGCATCTGCAGCAGACTTCAGCCTTGACTCTTCAGCAGCATATAGTCATGGCTCTTCAGCCTATGACCTTGAGTCGGCAGCGTACAGCTATGGATCTACAGCCTATGATCACTCTGCTGCACAAAGTAAAAGATCTGCTGCCTACAGTCTTGACTCTGAATCCCTCAGCCAGAGCTCAGCTGCCTACAGACATGGATCCGAATCCATCAACAAGCTGGCTGCAGCCTACAGGCTGGGATCTGAAGCCTACAGTCTCGGGTAAGTAAATCCATTTTTGAAACAGTATTCTGAAACAAATGTGTCCAACCACCTCCCATTGAAATCAATGGCAAAACTCTCCTCCTCCTCCACAGAAATTGTCTCTGTAACTTGGTGTTAATGTATTTTCCAGGCTTGGTGTTTTCCTTTGGCTTTGGCAATGGGAAGGACTGTGGTCAGCTTAGTTTATTGGACTACTTCTTGTGTGATGGTTGGATTGGCATAAGAAGAGCACTGGCAATGCTGATGTGGCTGAAGGATGACATATTAACGCTCCAAACTGGCTAGGCATGAGCCACCTCTCCTTCCAAGTTGTTTAGCCGTATTAGTACAGCTGAATTTAATATGCAGTGTTGAGAGAGCTTTTTGTTTGAGGCTGGCTCTTATCTGTCCAGGTTGGAGCAGTAAAAAACTTAGGGCTGTTCACGCAATTTTGAGCTGACATGTCCATATATTGTTAAACAATTCTTCTTTGGCCTAATGATTTCACTTTTATGCTGAGTGATTCAAGAAATTGAAATTTCCACACTGTATATTGGTTGAGGCATACTATTTCCGAAGTAGGAATACCCTGAAGTGTTCATCTTGCACTAGAAGAGCAGCTATGCTTAGCTGCTATGTTTTTTGTTTAATTAAGATAACGAATATTGCTCAAGCAATTATGTTAGCAGAATATTTTAGATATCATAGCCTCACATTATTTGTATGTATCTCAGAGATTTATCTCAGAGATTTACAGAAATTAGGGGAGTATTAAAGTAAGATTAGAGCAGCTGTTAGCAATAGAGGAAATGATCAACAAATTATAGCCCAAAACATCTGCTTGCTGTTATATTAATATAAAATTTAGAGTATTATTAGCAGAACTGATCAAGACTTGTCCATCAGAAAATTTAAATTTTGAAAACTGAATGTCCTCCAAGAATTGTGGATAAAGATGGAATTTTGGTCAAAACTACTGAGGGAAAGACTACCTGTACCACAGTGAACAATAGCTTGTGATTACAGCCTTCACTTGGCTTTCAGGAAGTTCAGGGTCAAGTCTCTACTTGCCAGGGTCTGTTCAGGAATTTGAACCTCAGGCTGTTAGATCCCAGATGAATGACTTGACTACTTGACTGTCTTGGGCTGGGTGATATCCAGTCTTTGCTGTTGAAACAATTTCACTTGTGCAAATAATTAACCACTGAGTGGAGCAGTGAGAAGCTCATTTATAATCTGCTGATGAAGGGAAGCAAACTGGAGATGCTGGGACTGAGGGTTATGTTTCCAGAGAGAGTTGAGTAGGAGAAGATATCTCAAATTTCTGCAGTGATGCAGCTGTGCCTACACGCTGTTACTGACCCTAACCCAAAGCCGCCTCCTTCTTATAGAAAATGTTCCCATAAGAAATGGGAACATTTCTTGAAGCTTCAAAAAATGATTGTAAAAAAACCTGCTTCCAAGTCCCAGTTACAAACACTTCAGTGAATCTGGTTTGTCAGATGAGTTTCTTCTGAAACCTATATATTCTCACCAAGAAGAACTCTAACATCAGCAAAGTAACATTTAAAGGAAATGGAATTGCTTCATTGGGAAAGAACTTAAAACATTTCCAGGTTTCCTAAGGTTTTGTTCAAGATAATAGCTTTTGTTTTAAAATAGTATATTTGGTGATACTTCCAAGCTACTCTGTAGTACAAGAGTTGCCAGCATATTGATATACTGTCCTGGTAATCAGAGATAAGAATGTCTCAGCTGTAACTTCTTTTTTTTCTGTGATGCTGTCCTTGCGTTGGAGGTTTGAGAAACTCAGTGCTGCTATGTAAGACCAGGACTCAGGAGATTAGACCTACGCGATTTAAATCTGAATGACAATCTCTATATTTAACCAATTTTATGGTTAATATGGCCTCTATGTTGGTATTTGTTTGGTTTTTGCAGCCCATTTTATTGCAATTTGCAAGAGATAAGGTAGAACAAATAATGTGACTATATGGTTAAATGTAGTACCAATTTGAAGTAATTCTTTCCAAGTTTGTACTGTCTTCTCCAGATAGTCTTTAAAGGATAATGTGGAGACAAAAAGTGTTACTAGAATTAATTGGGCAAATCAAAGACTTTCTGTTTTTATCTGTATGAAAGGAATGGTGTAGCAAAAAAAAAAAAAAAAGAAAATGAGTCTTCAAACTCTTTCATTTTTCAAAAAATAGAAAGGGCCTTGAAATGCTGTATCTAAATGACCTACAACAGTGGTGGTTGCTTGAAACTTGAATGGACACACAAATCCAAATCCAGATAAAAATCTTCTGCTAACAATTAATAATTGCATATCACTGGATTTTAACATCAAATATACATTTATGTATAATGGATATAGTTTTGCGGATAAACCCCATTAAGCCCAACAGGAAAAGTATACTATTCAAATACTAAGCTTTTATTCAGGTCACTTCTTATTTTCATCTAAATTAGCTTCTGCTAAACTTTACTATACTTGCAAAATTTAAGTCTCATCTTTTTCTGTAGCCACTGTACAGAAGAGAATGTTCATAAAACAACAGTGTTGACATGCAGTTAGTGCTATGTGAGGAATTTATCACGGGAAAACAGTGGAGAAGGACTAGGGACTAGGTAACCTGCAAGACCTTGACCTGAACCCAGTTCTCTGATGTTGAAGCCTCGCTTGAGTGGAAAACATGCCCAGAGCATGGACATAGACAGCTTGAAGGAGCTGCAGCTTGCTTTTTCATGAGGACAAAAAAGTCTCCCTTTGCAAGTGGGCTGTCCCTTCCCCACATTTCAAGTCTTCTTCACACCATGACAGCTTGAAGAAGTGAAAGGAGAGAAATGAAAACTGGCAAAACCAAGTACGGAAGCTTGCAGCTTTGCTGGTTACAGTTTGCCACAGCTGCAAAACCCTGGGCTCCTAAAAGAAAGTGAGTCTCACCATGTAGAGGTTGCCACTTCACACCTAGCCCTCCCTGCCAGCTCACGGGGCCCTTTCTAGCCATACACTGCTTCTTTGGTCTCTGCAGAGCCAGGAGGAGCGGGGTGTGCTGCTTCCCCCAAGGAGCGGGCAGGGTCTGTACAGGTGAGGGGTGGAGGCTCTCTCCCAAAAGCCATAATTGTGGCCACCCGTCCTCTTCCCTGTCCCATCCTCAGGGGCCGCCGGCAGGTTGGCTCCTGTGGGAGAACCTTCTTCCCGCGGTACCGCTCCATCCTCCATGCGCTTCTCAGAAGCTTTGAGTCAGGTCTGCCAAAGCTGCTTATAGCACTTACAGGCCTGTCAAACAGGACTGCTGGATTAAACCCGTTTACCTCTTTTTTTGGCAGCTCAGTCATTTGCCTTGGCTCAAACTTTCACTGCTTTTCCATATGTTATTTTCCTGGCCAGCAGCATCAGAAAATCCCATTGTATCACAGACAGGTTATCTGCCACCAAATGGGCCAGAGACTTGCTTAGAGAGAAAACAGAAGTTATTGGTGTGGCTCAGGCATTTGCATATATTTTGCAGATCAAGCGAAATAGCAAAGAAGACATGGCATAGTTCAGGTGAACCAAGCAATCAGAAGGGAGATGCCTTACTAACTTGCAATTAATTAGGTTGCCAGACAGTAAGAGTGAATGCTCTTCTGAGCAATATTGTAACCAGGATCGGGACAGGGCTGAGTAAATAATACACTTTAAGAAACATGAGAAGACCATGATCTTGGCACTGCTCATCCTTTGGTTTATTATAGGTGAGGGTTAAGAAGGTGGCTTCCAAATGTCATGGCCAAGCATGGAAATTGTTTTAATGAGACCTGCTATGTGGAAACAATTCCCCTTTAAAAAAATTTGTTGTGGAAGCTGTGTTAGGGAACAGCGTGATTATTGCCAGCAATATCGCCTGGGCCTGTGACAAATCTGCCAGCAACTTAAAATTTATATAGTCACCGGAGAGCGCCTCTCATCTTTAGAGGCTGGCTTTAAAGAACTCTCTTCTGAAAATCTTTTTTTTTTTTTTCCTGTAACTGGGTTTGCCTATGTCCTCTTTACAGTGAGTGAATTCAAACATTACATATTAGGAAAGAAGAAAGAACTAGAAAGAGAGCCTGGAAAATGCCTCTTGGCTAATGGAGCTCCTCTGGCAGGTACAGCTCGTACAGCCATTGTGTATACCAAATGCATCCCTTTCTGCTGTCGGAATAAATTGAGAGAGACCAATCCACTATGTCCTCTTTACAGTGAGTGAATTCAAACATTACATATTAGGAAAGAAGCAGCTGCTAGAAAGAGAGCCTGGAAAATGCCTCTTGGCTAATGGAGCTCCTCTGGCAGGTACAGCTCGTACAGCCATTGTGTATACCAAATGCATCCCTTTCTGCTGTCGGAATAAATTGAGAGAGACATGTAACAAAAGCATGCTAAGGACGAGATACATGATTTTCCTGAGGTGTAAAAGAGCTTACAGGTGCCTTTTCATGCAGGGGTGGAATAACTAAGGAATAGGGTGTTGTGGTCCATTCCTAGAACACATTTCTACATCCACTGGGTGCAGACTCTCTTTTTTGCAGGGTGGGAAACCTGTCCCTTCAGGCCCAGAAACCAGGGCAAGTGCCAACATATTGAAGTATATTTCTATCTGAGAATAAGACATCAAAACATAACCTCTGTCTGGGAGTTTCAGAGGCCCTGCACAGTGTTGTTGTCTTTAGTTCCTCTGTTGGGCTGGAGGGAAAAACTAATAGTGTCTATCTGTTTTTTACATCTCTACAGGACAATGCCTGTGCCTTTAGTATTTGCAGTCACGCAACTCCCAATTCAGTGACTCTACTGAGAAACTAGGAAAATGCTGGTGTTGATATTTTAAGATGCCGAAAACCATCAAGAAATGAGGACAGTAGGCTTGGGTCACCAACCTTGATAAGGCAGTACAGATAGCATCTGACCTGGAAAAAAACATACATATGCTAGCTGGGCATATCAAATGAGGCTGAAAGCTGTTAAAAGGTCATGGTACTGTTCCTCCCTGTGAAACTAGAGAGCAATGATACCCTGCTCCTGCTCCTTCTCCTCTGGGGAGATTCTGTTCCACATATCAGGTAAAAGGTTGGAACATTTTAAAATAAAGGGCAAGATTTTAGAATCCGGTTCAAGAAAGCAGAGTCCTCCTTTGGGCTACCTAAATAATGGTTGTAGGCAGGGTTTGGTTTTTGCGTTGCACAGGAAGAAATAGTAATAACAAAAAAGGAAAACAGGGAAATAAACCTTATGATAGAAATAGTGATCAATTTGGTTTCCCATGCAAAGAGCTCCATCTGAATATGCATTTCTACTAGCCTCCATATAGCTCTGCCTGAATGGAAGCAAATGATAAGAGGATTTGGAAAGTAGAAACATTTTCTGCTGCTTCAAATTTATTCATCTCAGCTCTTGGTTTTTACAGTGCAATTCTAAAAAAGATTTTGGAGTGACTCTGGATACCTCTCTGAAAACACCAGCTGGATGCTCTGATGTGGTCATGAGGAAATTTAGAAATTTAGGAACAGCTGTGAGAGAAAGTGAAAATAAAACAGAAAGCATATTGTGTCAGTGTGTTAATCCAAGGTATGCTCATAGCTGAAATACTAGGTGCAGTTCTGATCATCTCAAAAAGTACAGTATGAAACTAGAAAAGGGTCAGATATCAGCAAGGAGGGTAGTGGGAGGCGTGGAATACCATCTGTCGGGAGAAGGTAAGACACTGGGCTTCTTACCTTGGGAAGGAGGCAAACGTGGGCATGTAACGTTAATGTATAAAATAGTGAAAGATGTGCAGAGAGTGAACAAGGAATGATTTTTCACACAGAGTGGCATGTGAGTACAAAAGAGATTATAAAGTGGCAGATTAAAACAGGTTCAAAAAAAAGTGCCATTTTCATATATAAATAAATTGTAAGCTCATTGCTACAGCCAAGATGCAACCTCTGGCTCAGGATGTCCCTAGGCCTTTGCTTGAAACCAAAAGGATTTATCAAGGGAGGTATTTCTCTACATAAACTTTCTTTTTACCTGCTCTTGACCATTACTGGAACGGGAAACTGGTCTAAAAGCACCATTGGCATTATTCAGTGAAACACTTCTCACCGGGGCCTTGCTTAGTACAGGTCAAATTTCTGGAAGAGCAAATGACTGAAGTAAATTGTTCAGAGTGTTGTGTTAGCAATCTGATAGCAGCAGACAATTACAGGATCCACATGGATCCATTATTCAGCTCACAGTTATCTGCGCTTTTGATAGTTGAGCGCTCCCTCTTCTGTACCACTACAAAGTATTGGGACCCAACCCTTGCTCGTAGAAGACAGTGCAACAACTCTCGCTGCAGCTGCCCCTTCCAGAGAAAGAAGAGAGGAAAAGGCATCTAGAAAGGTGCTTTTCTGGTCCTGAGCACATACACACAAGGGCTGACCAAAGGATGCAATAACATGAAGGATCCAAGAGTAGTAATCCAGAAAATAATCAGATGGCTGTAGCAGTGCCTCAATCAAGAGACAGGCTGTTTAGAAAACTCGGAAGAGAGTGGGAAAAAAGTCCCAGTTCCATCCCTGTTTCTCAGGCTCCATTGTGATGGAGATCTCTGGCATTAATCTGAAGGATTTGGGGGATATTTTCATAAAGCCAGCTGTGGAAGGCAGAAAAAATGTGAGATATTCAACTACAAACACTTGGAGTGTTTGACTAAAAAAAACAACCATCAAACAAACAGAACCTACAGCAATTTATTCCTTCCTTTTCAAATAATTTTAGAGAGTTATAAGTGAAAGATAGGGAAAAAAAAACATGTAGGAAAGACATCAACAAAAGGCCTAGCAGAGAGTGATGGGAACTGCTATGTACGCTCCCCATTAATTCCCTACATGACTGTGTAATCTGGACCTTAACTGAAAACTAAACTGACAGGATGGCCAAATTCTCCTTTAGGAACAAAGAGCTAGTCTGGATTTAACAGTGCTGAAAATGCCTGAGCTGAAATTTTCACCACATTTCATCTACTTTTATGAAAATAGAAACTTCTTGACATTTAAACTGAAGTTCAAATGATACTGTGATCCTTCTCAATCTAGAAACAATCAGGAGTCAAGTGGCCTCCTAAAGGGTTCAGCCTAAAGCCCCTAGGAAATCTGATGGCAGTCGGAGTCAAAATTCCAGGTTTGTCCCATTTTAAAATAGGACAGGAATAAAAGTCACCTGCTAAGTAAAGAACTGCAGCTCCTTACAGACTATAGTTCAATTATGAAAAATAATGAAAATACTTTGCCTTTGATGTTTCTCACTACTTATTTGACGACAAGTTCTCCCGATGCATTTGTGGATGACCGTAGTGATTGTACCATATTGTTGCCCAACACAGGAGTGAGGCCATTGCATACCCTGTTTCACTCTGTCTCTTCCTTTTTATTTTACTCTGCCTGGACTGTTCCCAAGTGTTTTCTGCTTGGATTTCTGTCCCTAAAGCTGGATCCGCCTCCTTTGGACTCCCTCCCTGGCTGCCTTGGGCAGCGCCTGGCATCAGACCCTGAAGCAGACAGCATCTCTTTCCTGTAGACTTGGTCTGTGCCTTGGCTGACCCAGTGGTGCCTGACGTGGTAAACCCTTGGCTCCAGTCCTTTGGTGTGTGCCACAGCCCCTCTCTGGCTGTGCTTTTGTTTTCATGGAAACCAGGATACAGGGGGAGGAGGAAGGAAGGAGAACTGGTGCATGGTTGCTTTTACCCCCTGTACTGAGTGTTTCTTGGCAGTGGTGCTGTAGGCTCGGTGATGGTGGCTATAAAGCGCGCACCCGGGGAACACAGAGGAGAGGGCTGCCTCACTGCAATGCCGGGCGAGCTGAATACAGTCGAGTCTGATGAGATGGGGACTAAGCAGAAAGGAAGGGAAACTTACTGACGGTGCTGGGAGTGGCATGGCAAAGAGATGAGGGCTGGAAAGCAGATGTGAAGTTCAGGCAAGGAACTAGATGGAGAAGGAGAAGAGATGACAGTAAGAAAGCCTTTAAGAGAGCTAGAGGAGACTGATTTAACAGGCACTGGGTAGGGAGAGAGCTCGGTCTGAGCAAAGGGACGGGCACAAAGAAACAAAGGAAGGAAAGATGGGAGAATGAAACTGGACCCATGTGATCTCACACACACAGTCTCACATGGATAGATTATTAACACATATTTTGGAAATCAAGCACTCTTCCTGGTATGACTTGTGTTGGTGGCACCTCTGGAGCTTGGTACTTTTGCAGGGCTGCAGCCTAAGGTAAACATTAGCCCAAGTATGTATCTGTAATCTTACATTATACAGGTATAACATTCTCAGGGGCCCAGTGCTAGCATGAGTTTTGATTATATGTGTATAGCATGGTGCGTGGAGACACCAGTGTAAGCTACCCAGCGTATGGGAAGCAGGTTAGCCATGTTAGTGGTACACGTCCAGGCTAACGAGCCTTGCTGAAAAACCACATGCCTTAATTCTGCTCCTGTATCTGTGCACCTAAGTGGTAAGCGTATACTGTGTAGACAAATCTCCAGACCAAAAGCAGACTCACATATGATTTCCCTTGGCGATGTTGAGACAGAGACGAATAGACACTTTGGGGATTTATAAAAGGCTGACAGCTAATTAGGATATTCCATAGATCTGGGAGTTAGAGATGTGCTGCATTGGGAAAGGAGGACAGAGGTATTTGGAGCTTTGTTAACACGATTTGTAACCATGTTAAAAATGAACCCAAAATGACTGCCTCAACTATGCTTCACACTCTTCAGAATCCCTCCCAGGCTGGTGGGGAGGGGAAGCCTTCCTTTTGGTTTGCTCTTCTTTCTTTCCACTCATTCTCTGTTTATCTGTGCTGTGTTAAATGGTGTTACTTCACTCAGCTCGCCACTTTCAATGGATTGGGGTGGTACGGGACAGCAGTGGGAATGGCAACACTGGTTACTGAGCAATACGCTGCCCTACAACTTCTGTAGAGAGACTTAAATGCATTATTACTTTGAATATAATTGCACACCAACATTTTGGTTGGGCACCAGACAATTTCAGGACTGTAAATTTTGGAAAAGTAGATGTTATGAGTTCAGATACAATCTTCAGAATTACTCAGTGGTCTCAGTGACTTCAGGATCTGCCAAAACTGGGTGTACAAAGTCTCCAAGTCCCAAACCAAGAAGCTATTAAATGTGCATTGCTATCAGGTATATTATTTATTCTCTCTATTTAGATTTAATATCAAGGGGCGTCAGTGTTATATTTGTAATGATGAGTTTGTCAAAAGTGCATTTAGTTATGTGTTTAATAAGTCTGAAGCCATGGCTATTAAAAATGATATTTTCTTGCTTATCAAACAAGAAAGCAAAAATTTTTAGTACTTGAATCGTATTTTGGAGTGTTTCTTAACACCTTTTTTTTCTGAATTTAACAATATTATTTTTATTTCAGACTGAAAGATTCCAGTTTAATGATTGAAGACCAATCCTATAAGATGAGTCCCAAAGCAAAGAGAGCAAAACAGAATTTGTTATCTGAGGACAAAGAGAACGAAGCCATAGACTACTCAGTGCCCATATTCACAGGACGGTATGTTAATTTTTCTTTTGTTTGGTATCTTATTTCTGACATTTTATTAATAAATTTAAAAGAACAAATCCATTAATCTTTTTTTACACTCATGGATCTCAAGCTGATTGTTTACACTTCACATAAGTGATAAAAAGACAAAGAGAAGTCAACTGACTGGCAGAAAATCAGACGTTGATCATCCAGAGCCAGGACAAATGAACCGAGGTGTCTGGACTTTGTTTTGAACACATTGCCAGGGACACTTTCTATGAAATCAAGATATAATTATAACTCTGCTTATTGAGAACTGGACAACCAGGTTGTCTACATTATTTAGCCTATTCTTTTGGTTTGAAGACTTGTTCTGTAGTTCAATGTCTCTTACCAAGCATTAAACATAGAAACAATGAAATTATGTGCTAATGTTTTGTCCTGGCACAGGGAAAACCTGGAATGAAACCAAATAATTTCTCAAATCCATCATAATGATTCATACTGATCTCACGTGTTGGTGGTATTTATTGCATGGTTACTACTGATGTAATACATCTTACTGCAGCAATGTCCTCAGTAAAGCTGAATGTGAACTTTATGTGGAAGCCAGAACCAACGTGAGCAAGGAGGCTCCCCTGCCCTTTCTGGGGTATGGCACACTGATTTTATTAGGAGTCTCCGGCAGTTCGAGCATAGTCACCTGTTCAGATTAATACATACCAGGGTGTGGTGTGGAAAATTGGTTCCTGACTGGAGGCCAGGAGAAAAATTTCTCGCCCACCTGCAGTTGAACAGAAACCTTCCTTCGACTTGCCTTTCTTCTGCAGCACAGCATTTTTCATGGGACACTTCCAAGCTGTTTCTGGGAGCCAGTGCTTTTCTGTCTACTGCTTAACCAACACCCAGTGTCACATCTGCTTTGTGTCCAAACTTGTGCTTTCATGTGAAACTGAGTTCCATCTTGTCAGTGGGAGATGTTATTGCTTTGGCCTTTTGAGCGTTTGTGATGGTTTGTGATGAGACCAGCAGTTTTGCTTTTTATTAATTCTCTCCCACTATTCCAGAGTGACTTTTTTCTCACCCCTTGTACATTTCTGTGTTGGATTCACTTTGTTTGATCCAACCAACATTCAGAAGCACACACTGTTGCCTTTTTAAACCATTGCTTTGGAGTTTCAGCAATATCTTCTGTGACAGAAATACATAAATATGTCTCACACAAAACATATTGTGGTAACATATTTTCAAGGCTTCTCACTAGCTTTGTGTCTCACCTGGTGTTTCTGCTCACATAGCAGTAGATTTGCAGTTCACCATCATCTGTCTCCCATGCCCTCAAGCACAAATATCCTCCCTTTTTATTGTGTCTTGAGTCTACAAAAATAAAATTTATAGTGTTGGTCAATAGCTGAAAATCATGACTGATGGCTAGTATTCCTGGATGATGATCTTAGCTTTTTTACAGGCCCCTGTGATCTTAACACATCATGTTAACATCTTAACAAATCTTAACAAATCATCTTTTTTTATTTTACTATTTTGTAAAATGCATACAGTAATATCTAACTCAGTGTGATGGTGTATAGCTTCATTTATTTGTGTCTGTGCAATACTTTGGGATCCTACATTAAAAGATTCTGTCAGATTCTTACGTCATTGTTACTATTCTTCTTCTTCCTGTTGTTGGTATCAATCTTACTTTTTGCACATGGCAACTCAGGAAGTTGTGTGTGCTTTTGTGCCACTGAAATGACCCAAATAGGTTTTCTTTTTTAATTAGTTAAAAAATATAAAAAGGGCATATGATGATTGTTAGGGTGCCCAACATGGTTGGGGTATCTGTTTTAGGCTTTTTTTCTGTTGGCATCATGTTCATGACCGCATGCCAAGATTGCAAAGTTGCGTGCCACATTCCTGTCAGATACGTATTTTTGTTTGAAGGATAACAGCTGAAGCCCATTGAACCATGTGCGTGTTATATGTCATTCCCAAATTCCCCTGTGAAATTGATGTGTTGTTTCCCATGGGCAGATAGGTTTTACAAGGAATAGTTATTTATAAAGGTCAGCTCTCCATGGGTTCATCAGAGCTGTTGCCCGTGCTGCTGGACGACCTTCAGCGCCGTTATTGCCATTATTTGGTTCTATTTCGGAGCCCTCAGGTTCTGCTGTAAAAACCTCCCTTGCTCAGATTATTCACTTCACAACTGTTCTTCTTAAACACCTAGCCTAATTCTTGCAAGATAAAATTAAGGACAGCCAGCCAGTATTCTAGATGATAAAACACCCAGAGCTTGATTTAATGCCATAGGTGCTAAAGATATTGGATGTGGCTCGTGGAACTATTTGCAACCACTAATAAGCCTATGCCAAAGGACTGCAGATGGCAGATACCCTTTAAATATTTTGTGTGTGCTATTTGGGGTTTGATCCCATTGTTTCTGTTCGAAAAGTGTTTTCTACTGAAACCCCTGAGACTTGACTGCTGAATCAATTCTTAAACGGTACTGTATGCTGCTTCTGATGCATTCATCATTTCAGGGAGCATGTTTCTCTTTGATCTGGGAAGATTATAACAAGAAGAAATGATTAGCAAATCTAAATATTTAATACTGTTGATCAAAAACATTTGGGGACCGCTACTGCAGATGACTCGGCTGAGTCCTATATTAGTCTGAGGATATTCATCAGCTCCCAGAAGATGCTTTATGCCTGAGGAGTGGGTCCATACTGTGAAGTTGCTGAGATCTTAACTACTGTAATTAAGGAGGAAATAATGTCAGCTTGCCTTTGAAGTAAAACGCCACTGATTCATTTAAACTGAATGTAGATAGCTACATTCATATTCATTAAACTGAATTTTCAAAATTGTCCTTAAAAATCTCTGCCATATATCTGCAGCTTCGGATGATATTTGTGGGGGGAGCTGATGTGCCTAAGTGAAGGGAATCAATCATCCCACTGATATTTTTAAGGATCATCCTGTTAAAGCAGCCTGAAACACAGAAAGTTCAAGGCAGAGTTTGAAAGCATGAGGGAGGTCAAAGCTCTATGCTGTTAAGTAAGTTTTTTAGCCTTCTGAGCAATTTTTATGCATGATTAAGTTTACAGCACATTCCAATGTGAACAGTTACTCTCAATGGGTCTGTCTTGCAGACAGACTCTGCTTGGCTGTCTTGCATCTCACCAACTGTGATTATCAACTGTCTTCACAGCCCAAAGATAAGGGGCTGAACAGTTAATTATGGGCTTGAATTCAAATTTTCTTGAGTGTTGAGATGTGCTATCAAACGCATAATATTAGCAATCTCAAAGAAAACAAAGAATCATTCTTCCTAATCTTTTTGCTTTGTAGCAGTAGTAAGCATTTTATGATAAAATAGTGAGGCTTGAGTGCATTCTGGAAGTAAACAGAGGCTGCTTTCTCTATAGTGCTTGCAAGATGGCACTTAAGGAGAACTTAAACAGAACCTCTTTTCAGTGTGCCATCTAATGTTACCCTACAGTAACTAAAGTCAGCAGAAGGATATTAATGCTTCTCCTTAAGTCAAGGAACTCTCATTGTATATGCACTACTATAGCAGCTACCATGTCCTGACAGTGCCAAAACAATATGGCTGCAATGGTACTTCCACATGTGCATATGGAAACAGGATTGGACCCATTGAGAGTAACCATTCTTTGCATCTCACCTCTGTAGAAAGCCTGAGGAAGATGCTTCAAGAAAATCCTTAATCATCTTCTTGAAAACATTTGGAAGAACAGTCACCCTACAAACATTACAGGATTGAATTTTCTATGAATAAAGAGAACTTTTAGTGATATACAGTAATGTGGCTTTTTGTTTAAATGACAAATGAGGACGTTATTATACAGCTACAATTATCTCCTGCCCCTTTGGTAGTGTTATTATGAATGCTGCAGCTATAAGTCAATAACTGAAGATCTGTGGGTATGCCTTACACTAATCTTTATAGCAATGGAGATACAAAACCGAGCAGGATAATGGTTAAACTGAAAATGTGTATGGCATAGTTATACAGAGAGGCACTGAAAACGGCCATGACTTTAGACAGTGAAATACTCAGTCATTCTGCAGTACCCTTCTATGTTTCTGCTTTGAATACATATGTGTCTGTAATAGCAGAAATATGTTATGAAAGAGTGTTGGCCACTGTAGTTGGCTAATTTGATAGAAATTATAAATGGAATATGTTCTCAGCACCTTCCAATGGGATTCTGCTTTTTAAAAATTCTTTCAGAGAAGTGAGTATCAGTGGGATCACAGACACGGAAGAAGAAAGAATTAAAGAAAGTGCTGCATATGTTGCCAAGAGGAACCTTTTTGCCACAGGTGAAGGAGTTAGTGCCAGAAAAGTGGCCAAGTCAACTTCTGAAGAGGAACATCATGAAAAAAAATCAAGGAAAGTAGCAATCCGGGAGTCTGCTGAACGTGTGGCCCTGAAGAAAACGGTAATAGAAATGAACACCTAGGCTGTAAACAGCGTGGGTCTTTTTTGTTTGGTGTTTGTAAAGTGCCTAGCACAACAAGGCCCTGATTTACACCACGGACAATCACAATAGTGGAAGTAAAAAACCAAAGTATTTTCAATGGAAATCTTTTCAGTGACTTAAAGTCTTGTTATCTTGGTGTCAGGTGGATAAGAAAAGAGGTACTCTGCCTGAGGTAGGCACCAGGAACACTTCTGTTGTGCTGGGAGAAAGGGAGAGAGAACGGGGCCGGGGAATGCTCTTTGGTCATGCCCACACCTAGTTAAATGGCACAGCATCCTTCACCTGGACGATGAGGCAGCTGCTGGGCAGAGAAGAAAGGTGCCAATGTATGTATCTTGCCAATAAGAAGGTGATGGGGTAATTTCTGGATTTTTATGGCCTGGGAACAAGCTTGTCCAAAGTGTTTAACCCAGAGTTTTAATCACAGGGTGTAAATTAGGGAGGGAATTGTCAAAGACATCTGGAACGGAATCTCTAATTGTGGATAGCTTTGATATTATTTTGCAACTTCTTAAAAAATAATACTCAGAGCATAGTTACAAATATGTTATGACCAGACTGGCAGAATATATCAAGTGCAAATATATTTCATTTAGCAAATTTATTAATGTTTTGAGCAGAAGAATTGGTGATATGCTTATAAAATATCCTCATGACATGAGTTTGGAAAGGGTGTAAACACTTTGAAGGACAAGGTAAAAATTCAAAATCATCTCAAAAATTGAGAAACAGTGAAGGTGAAATTTGATAACAACCAATGGAAATTACTACACACAGAAGGAAAAAAACAAGTAAATGAGGAATACCTGGCTAGGTAGAAGTACCTGAGGATCTGGGAGTTATAACAGGTCACAAGTTTAGTCAGTCAATTTAATGTCAGTCATTATTGTATAAAAACAAATGCCACTCTAGAGTGTGTTAACAAAAGTATTGTCATTAAAACATAGGGGGCAATTATTTAATTGTGTTGGAGACTGTTGGACCTCTGATAATGAGTAGTTACTGTTTTATGAACGTTGAGGACAAGTAGAACCTGTCCAGAACTGAGAAACAACAATTGCAAGGAAAATTGGTATCGCACAGTTTATAAAAGACTGAGAGGATTATGAAAGCTGTCTTCTTTTAATAACCTTAATACAGGGACCTGTAGTTCTCCATACATGTGAAAGTTAGGGCAGAAAATAAATAGTTTAGTTTGCATAAAGCAAGATTTATAGTATATTAGGAATTTTTTTCCAGCTCTGTGAATAGCCAAGCAGTTGAAACTGTTACCCTGGGAGGATGAAAGATCCCATCATCAGGAAAGGTTTGAGAGCAGGTCTGTCAGAGATGATCTAGGCATACGCAGTCTTTCATTAGAACAAAAGTACAGAAGACATCTGAGTTTCAGACGTATTTCACCTTTCACTCTGTGTTAAAAAAAAAAAAAATTAAATGTGGAAAATTATTTTACTTAGAATAGTTTTAAGGAAAAAAACCAGTAAAATCAAATCTAGCTATTTTGGAAGGAGAACTTCTTGAAGATGAAAACTTTGTTTTCTGTGTCCAGGTGAGATAAATACATTAAGTATGTCTATCTGGATTTTTAAATAAAAATTGCATATTTTTTTACTGCTTTTAAAAAAATACGCTTTTTGCATATTAATAATTTGCACTTATAACTGCTGGAGTTTATAATCAAATGTTTCTTTTCCAGCTAGAAGAGACTCAGGCATTCCACAAAAAGTTGAATCAAGATAAACTTTTACATGCTCCTGAGTTTATTATTGAGCCTCGTTCCCACACTATCTGGGAAAAGCAAAATGTCAAATTTCATTGTTCCGTGGCTGGCTGGCCAGCACCCCATGTTACATGGTAAGTTTGTATCTCTAGCACTGGAAGTCACCACATAACTAATATCTGAAGTCATCTCAGTGAATGTGGTATTTTTTCCAGAAAGATACAAATTCAATAAAAAAAATCAGGTACAGAGGCCTGTCAAACACCTTTGAAGTCACCTTGTACAAAAAGAAAGCAAAATATTAAAAAGCAATATAATACTTTGTGTAACAACAATAGGAATACATAGATTTTTTTTTTCATAGAGACATCCAATATATTATTTCTGTCTGCTAATGAAGGAAAAATAGCAGTTTAATTTATTGTCAGTACTATCCTTAAAATAATGTTTTCCAAATACTTCTGTTTAGTCTACAAATGCCATTAATGTCCCTGAAGCATTAAAGCATGCTTTGGTTAAGAACTAGCTGCTTGGCTGCTGAGCAGTTATAGTACTGAATCTCCATGAAACTGAAATCTCATGATGCAGGGTGTTCATAGCAGACACATCATAATTATTTGAAGTCAAAGACTGCAGATAGATCCAGGACCATCCAAATCTTCTGAAAGCTTTGGAGCCTATTGGAAACTTTCTATTCATTTAAATGGTCTTTGGACTAAATCTTTACTGTACTCCAAAATATACTCTTAGTCATAGCTGAAGGTCTGATTTGACTCTTGGGTTAAAGTTTACCGTGACTGGAATTGAATTTAGCTTAATTAACAGTGACTTGTGAAGCTTTACTGTCTCACCATCTATTGAGCTGATCTTTCTTATCTGTTTCATGCTACACAGATACCATCAAGTAGTTAAGATAATAGGTAATAACTTTTTTTCAAACATAAAATGAGATTTGATGGTCATTATTTAATTTAAAAGATTCTTCTAGAATGTGTATATAAAATGTATGTATGTGTTTATAAAATGAACAAAGAATAAGCCCGTGTTCAGCATTAAGCATTTATTAGGAATAAATCCTATGGAGAGTCTATTTGTGGAGACAACAGAAGACATCTACTGTATCATGATGTTAAGTAATACTCATATTTTGCAATTTACTACTTGAATTGCTTAATGGACTCTGTGTTTATGTAGGTCTTAAAAACCTTAATCTCAGGGCTTGATAAAAAGTGCTACTAAGAGGAACATTAATAGGCCAGAGCTGATGCCCATGAAGTCACTTGATCTCTCTCCTTAGACTATGACACCCAATAGCCAGGCTCTGCACGGACACATTTTTCCCGTCACGTAAGGGTCGCAAGTGCCCTGTTTTGACATTCCTCCTAGAGAGTATTCCAGACAAACCCTTCGGGTCTGGTCTCAGCTGGACATAAGGAATGGTCAGCTATGCTCATGGCTGTAATCCAGCTCTGTAACCTGAATCCTAACCAAGAACGCAAGAGCTTTTTCACTTTGGTTGAGATTCACCTTATACCAAAAACCTGACGTGGTTAAACCAAGCCTTCAGCTGTGTGCCTTTGCTCTCACTGTGAACCAGCCTTTCATCAAAGGGCTAAATGTGGATGGTGGAAATTAATACATCATTTTACCGTACATCTGAATTCCAAAGGGATTTCAGTTTGCCACAGGCTACTAATGGAAAAAAAGAGTTCACAGCCATTTCAGCAGGTGTCTTTGCTCTGAGATACAGAACAGTGCTGACCTGGATCTGTTGGCTTTCATTCAGCATTTCTAACAAAATGTCAGTCGTGTATTCCAAACAGTCATTCTTTGTATAAGCAATGAAGACCTTTTCATGCTGTGCCTGAAAAATTATAACGCTTCATGAACTTTCTCTAAAGAAAACCTTACTGTCTGATGCAGCTGTTTCTGACTCTCTTGGAAAAAGCATATGGAAAACCCAGGACATTTGAAACCAGTAGCAGAAAGCATAAACTATCAGTGCATAATGACAGTGGGAGGTTGCAGTCCAACATTAGCTAATGACTTGGCTGTTCTGGAATTTGCATTTCCAGAAATAACAAGTGGTCCTTCTAACATGAGCCCTATTCTTTCCATAGATGAGTGTAAATAAGCGAAAATTGAATAGATTATTTTTTACTAACCTGATAATGAAGACAAAAGAAGTGAAAGTCTTCTCGCTGCTGGCATGACTCAGTTAAAGCTTGTTTCTGCACAGCACCACATGCTACCAAACACCTTTGCTGCCAACAGGATCCAAGGGTTGCCCAGCCCTTTGGAGAAAAGTTAAAGAGATTATGGAGTCAAGTCCTGTTTCACAGGATTTCATATTCCCTGGAAAATATTAGGAACTGATGGCATTATTCTATTTTCTAAATTATTTGACACACTACATGGAATATAAAGATGCCCAGATGTTCCCAGGCAGATCAGTCTGGGCGGCACCATTGCACAGATCAGGTGAAGAGTGGTGGCAAATGGATTACTCTTACTGGTCCCATGTATTATTCTTTGCTGTAAGTCAGGATAACGCAGTAGGAGATCTGTAATGAGGTCAAGCATCTCTGCAACTGTTTGAAGTCCAGAATAGAGAGTATTGCCCTGCATTGAGTCCCTTTTCATAGACATCTTGCTGAGAGGAAGATCAAGATGAAAAACATTACGGTTTATGATCCTCACTCACTTTGGCACTTGGAAAAATCCCAGTGTATTACTGTGCCCAAAAATTTGTAGCCAGGGAAATATTCTTTATTCCACAACACTGAAAGTGCTGAAAGGCAATTTTCAGATTTATTGTGGATATAGCTTCATCTTGAGACATATTAAACTAATAATATTCTTGGTAAAAATAAAATTGCTTATTACCGACTTGTTGGTGAAGTGGGGCAAGCCACTGACACCAGACCAGTTCCCTTTCCCGATTGAAAATCATGAGAGATTTAAAATTTAAAATCTGAAATGAAGAAGCAAAGCTCTTTGGCTGGATATCTGTTATAACTTACGAAGAGAAAGGTTTATTTAAGCTATATCAAAGTAAGAAATGAAGATACTTTTGTCTATCATCGTTTATATTTCCACTTCCCTTATATATGTACCTTATGGAGCACAGGGAAAGCTATGTTAAAGGAAGACACTATCTTAGGAAACATTCTTTCTTTATAGACCTCAAACCAATCCCAGATGTACTGAATACAATTCAGTGTGCAATATTATTAGACTCCTTTCACCAGTTTGTTCCATATTACTAGTGCTTGCTTAAGACAGGGTTTACTTGAACATTTACTTGGTTACACCATGTATTGTCCAGAATGAGTGACTTTTTATGCAATGACTGGTGAGGAAAAATTTACCATGAACCACTGAACTCTTCCTCTATCGGTCTCAAGCTGTTTATATAAATTCTGAAATTAGCAGTGCCAGCTGACTACTGATCAGTACTGGTTCATTCCTTCAAATTACTTACTGGGAATTTTGAACAGTAAACTTTTCCTACCTGAAGATATACTTGTACCAGAAAACACTCATACCTGTGAAGGCAGAGTTTTTGGTAGTACAGCTTTTGCCAGATCCCTCGCTGCAATGTACTTTACCAGCAAGACAATTTTTCCTTGCCAGTCTAACCCTGTCAGGGCTTCCGTCAACTTAACTATGCAAGCAAAAAAAAAGTTAACTTTCTACCTGACATTTTTGTGAATATGCAGGTTTTAAAAGTAGATCAAAAATGCGAACCAAACAAAATGTGTATGATACCTAGTAGGTAAGGATGCTACAAAATTTTCATTGACTGCAATTCACAAAACTCTGAGATGTTGCTCTTGTGACTCCTCCATTCCTTTACAAGTAGTAACATGAAGTTCATGGTAATATAAATTGATTCTCATCCCATTCAAGATTATTTTCTCCTTTTAATTAAAAAATAAAATTTACCTGGAGTGGAGCAAAGAGAAAGAGAGAGAGGTTAAGCTTCCAAAGATATGCAATGTCTTCCCAGGAAATTAGGCTACAGTTTATCTAGGAGAAACATGCAGAAACTGATGTTCTATTTCAAACATCAAGGACTTGACCTTTTGAAGTATATAATTATACCCTTCTGTTTGTGACATACTGTTTCTTTGCTTTTCCATAGGTACAAAAACAATGTGCCCATCAATGTACAGACCCACCCTGGCAAGTATATCATTGCAAGTCGATATGGGCTGCACTCACTGGAAATTAGCACGTAAGGGAATACTAGATAATTTAACAAATAGCTTAAGCTGAAACATTGCTATAGATTGAGACCTGCAAAATGTGAACATATCTCTTGGGGATGTAAGAGATATCCAGTTTGTACAGCTGAGGTGAATGCTGTCTACTAAATGTTGAAGCAGTTCTGGTTTTCCTCAGTAGAGGATATGCAATTTACCTAAGTGAGTAATTTATCTGGATTATTATTCTAGCCATTATTCTATGGCTGAGTCAGAAACACGTGGGACATTTGTGATTACTTTTTCCATTTGTCTGCTGCATGAGTACAGTTAAACATGAGAAAAATCTAGTTCAGGGTAAAAATATGTGAGTTAACTGATTTTCAAATATAAAAATATTCCTGATTCTTGCTGAAATGATGAACAGAACTGAGATGTCCTCACTTATACAGAAGACAGATCTTTAACAGTACTCATCCTCCAAATGGGAAATTTTTGCTGTCACTTTGCATTAAAAAACATTGAAAACATGAGACCTAATCACCTAATTTGACAATCAGCGACAATCTAGATTTGACAATTTAGATATTGGTAGGTGACCTTTGAAAATATTTTATGATAGCTACCATTTCTACAGCTTCCACATTGGGCATCTCTCCATGGGAGAAAGTAAATTAGAGATAACTTAGAGAGAACTTAGGTAAATATTATCAGACAGTTTTTTCCTACTTCTGGTGTATTCTCAATTTCAAATCTGTAAGTGATATTTGAAAAGAGACATTTATTTCAAACATTGGATTTTTAACATTGAGAAAAACTTAATGGCTACAATCAGTCCAGTGTGCCTGTCTCCCAAGCTTTTACTTCTTCATAGATTTTACCCAGATTTCTGAGGGTTTCTTTAACCTATAACATAGGAGAGGCTATGCCAAGAAGTAAATGGGTGCCCTGCCTAATCATTTCTATCATTTTAGATGTGATTTTGACGACACTGCTCAGTATCGGGCCTCTGCTATGAATGTTAAAGGAGAAATTTCGGCTTATGCTTCCCTCGTGGTAAAGAGTAGGTTTGCAAAATATTTCCTTTGGGTTTTTTTGTTAAGATGCACATTACCAGTTTTGTTTTTGTGTCTCAGAGGGCCTTTACCTCTTGGTGATAGTGACTGGAGTTGTTCTTTTTCTGTCTAGGGTACAAAGGAGAGATTGATGCAAGTCTTTTGTACGCTGGAACTGTTTCCATGCCTCTGGGCCGTAAGTTGCAATACATGTTTGTTTGACACATCCATTTACACTTGTGACATCACGACAAATGACTAAGCAGAATATTTTGTAACATTATTTAAAAAGGAAGCAGGTCTGATTTACAAAGGTACTGAGCTCTACAATTTCAGACGGTGTTAGCCTCGCCTATAGGAGAAAATGGCATTGCCTTCTAGGTCTATGGCTATTTGCTTATATAAGAAACATCCTTTTAACATTGCACTTCACTGTGGAATAAAATCTGTCAAAGAGAGAGACACTTCCTCTTTTGCAATATGTAAAATGGCCTGGAAAAAAAGCTACGGGGTGCATGCGCATAAGTAGAGTAGTTGACTTAATCGTTCTTGTCCGCTGCTATGTGATTCCATGTGTTGCGAAAATGTGTAGAAAAGATGAAATAGCCAGAACCCAATTTGAATATTGGGTATATATTGGATTTAGCTTGGATATATCAAGGCAAAAACTGTAGTTTGTTTTACCTGAGAACCTCACATTCTGAAGTGATTTACGGTATTGCATAGATACTTCCACGATGTTAAGACAATCCACGCACATATGCCATGTGGGTGGAGTGCCCTAGGGTCCCTGTGCATGGAAGGCTTGACAGATGAGACTTACGGACATTTCTTTTATTGTAGCAGCACAAATAGAATCAGAGATATGCTGCAAAGGCATACTAGCTGGCATTTATATACCGAAGCTCTGAAATAATAGAAACAATATTATGTACCACATTACAAAATGCAAGGCCACACATTTCCAATATAATCTGGGATTTATCACTTGGTTATGGGAAAGGAAGATGACGATCTGCATATATTCATTGATCACAGGAAAACTGAGAGCTACCAGTGTAGGGCAGTTGTGGAAAAGGAAAATGTGACCCCAGGTTTCATCAGCTGAGCTGTTTTCAAAAGAAACATGGAAGCCCCTGTGCCATGTATATGCAGTACAAGTGTAAGGCACTTAGGATATTCTGTCTGGAATACTGCACAACTTGGGTCACACAGCATCAGAAAAGATAAATTCAGGAGCAAGTACAGAAACAGGCTACCAGAATGCCTGGGGAATCAAGAGCTCATTTTATATTAACAGCCCCCCCAAAAGGCTTATTTAGCTTACAAAAATGCAGGCTGAGTGGACACGTGACTGCCCTGAGATGGAGTAAGGAGTTACAACAGGGAAAGAGAAGAACCATGTAAGCTGAAGATCAGCTTGACCTGAACAAATTATTAATCATAAATAGAAGTCTTTTTAAGTTATAAAACAAACCTTGTGATAAAATGATAAAACGCTGGATGTGAAGTTTTGGAAATTCTGGAATAAAATTCTGCAGGAGCCTCTTATTACCAGCCCCCAAAAGGCTTATTTAGCTTACAAAAATGCAGGCTGAGTGGACACATGACTGCCCTGAGATGGTAAGGAGTTACAACAGGGAAAGAGAAGAACCATGTAAGCTGAAGATCAGCTTGACCTGAACAAATTATTAATCATAAATAGAAGTCTTTTTAAGTTATAAAACAAACCTTGTGATAAAATGATAAAACGCTGGATGTGAAGTTTTGGAAATTCTGGAATAAAATTCTGCAGGAGCCTCTCCCTGATAAAATGAACTAGCTGTAAGAACTAGAGTTGTATGAATGAAGCAATAGTTGATTCTCTGTGATAGTAAGGGCTTGGATTATTTAACACTGCAATTACCTCTGAAGATGATAACTGAATATATATTGTTCCTATTTATATCTTAAACTTTACCTGAGATTGTATTCATAATCATTGGGTACTTTTGCTTCCTACTCTTGTCACAAAAGGAAAGAAAAAGTAAACTGCCGACTTTTTTTTCCCTTATACAGTTGGCGTTACCCCTCATGGCTATGCTTCCAGGTTTGAAATCAGTTTTGTTGACAAGTTTGATGTAGCCTTTGGGAGAGAAGGTGAGACAATGAGCCTGGGCTGCACAGTTGTCATCAGTCCTGATATCAAGCGCTTCAAACCAGACATCGAATGGTACAGAAATGGTGAGAATGTTTGACAAGAAGAAATATAAACTTCTTTCATGTAAATCTTAACTTATTCCAGCATATATGAATGTTATGATTTGGTCATCACTTTCTCAAATTTCCAAACAGCAATGTTTCCTCTTTTTCAATTAAAAGTTTTTCAAAATTTAGCATTTTGAAGTGGAACCATAGTTAGAAAACTGATGCAGCACTGTGAAAATGTCTTCTAGGGATTTTTTCTTTCTTAAAAATTTTTTTAAATTAGAAGCATTTCAATCAGCTCCAACATCTGTGTGGCCCATCTACATAGCCCACATAGCTTTTACTATTTATTTATATGCCAAGAGATTTCTTAAGTAGTGCACAAATGCGTTGTGCAACAGCTGATAAAAAAGCTGTTGCTTTCTAAAGTTACACTTTGAAAACAAAGACAAAATGGGCATGAGAGCAGAATTAGCTGTAATTTATGATTGTGTTCAAAGACAGAAAGTTGCATAATAAGAATGGTCTCTTGTGTATTTCCATCTATTCCAATATAGCCTCCATATTCAGAATCTATTCCTCAGTAGATCCAGCTAGTTCTCATCATGAAATTCTCTAATTTCTAGGTATTCTTATCACACCATCCAAATGGGTCCAGATGCACTGGAGCGGGGAGCGAGCTTCATTAACACTGACTCATGCAAACAAGGAAGATGAAGGTCTTTACACTCTACGAGTGGTGATGGGAGACTACTATGAAGAGTACAGTAGTTATGTCTTTGTTCGAGGTAGGATACTGTCTTGTGAACAAAACTCACTACAGAAATGAGGAAAACATGCTGGCAAAATCAGCCTCAGACATTTGAAGTGGTTTTTTTTTCCCAATAAAAAGAGAATAATTATTTTCTATTAATAGATTCCAGCAATATAGCTTCCAGTTGTTATCTCTGGAAAAACTGAATGCATCTCTCATGCTTTGGTGTCACCTGCTAGAAGACTTCTAATCCCCATTGGCATTCTGAGGAGGAAATTTGGGCTATTGATGTAACTTCACTACTCTTTCTCAATTTCAGACTGTGAAGAGTACTGAACATAAGTCATAAAGAGGAAAAATCTACATAATAACTTAAAAATGTATTTTTGTAAACATCTCACTGCTAGCTAAACTGCACTGTTTTGATCAAGATTTTGTGCACCATTTGAGGCGTTCTCTCTAACGCACAATGCAGGAAAAAATACAGTGGAAGGGAAATACAAAGATCTGCATCTGGGGAAGAATAACGTCATGTACCAGTATAGGCTGGGGGCTGACTGGCTGGAAAGCTGCTTTTCAGAAAAACCCCTGGGGGTCCTGGTGGACACCAAGGTGAACATGTGCCCTTGTTGCAAAGAAGGACAGCAGCATCCCGGGCTGCATTAGGAAGAGCATTGCCAGCAGGTTGAGGAGGTGATCCTTCCCCTCTGCTCAGCACTGGTGAGATTCATCTGGAGTGCTGGATCCAGTTCTGGGTTCCCCAGTACAATAGAGACATGGACTTACTGGACTGAGTCCAGCAAAGGGCTGTGAAGCTGATTAAGGGCTTGGAGCATCTCTCATACAAGGAAAGGCTGAGAGAGCTGGAGCTGTTCAGCCTGGAGAAGAGAGGGCTTAGGGGGAGTTTATCCATGTGTAAAAATACCTGATGGAGGAGAGTAAAAAAGACAGGGCCAGGCTCTTTTCAGTGGTGCCCAGTGCCAGGACAAGAGGCAATGGACACAAATTAAATACACGAAAGCTCATTTAAACATAAGAAAACACTTTTTTTACTGCAAGGGTGGTTGAACACTGGAACAGGTTACCCAGACAGGCTGTGGATTCTCCATCCTTGGAGATAACCAAAACCTGATTTGACGTGGTCCTGGGCAACCAGCTCTAGCTGACCCTGCTTTGAGCCAGGGGTTGGACTAAGCGATCTCTGGAGTGGTCTGCCAATCTCAACCATTCTGTGATTCTCTAAAGTAAAGCAGCAAAGTGTAGAATTAAAATGTAATTTCTCTGAGTGTTGTTTACTTGTACCATGAAAAACTTCCTTGAATTTCTATTAGAGAAATATTTCTTTAAAAGGAGCCATGGCTATCAGGTTGCGCACTGATTCTATATCTGTCCCAGCTACTAAAAGCAGCTGAAGTGTGTAATGCTAATTCAAAAGGCCCTGGAAATTCTTGGCTCTGAGACCATGCCCAGAATGGCGCTGTGTTGCTAAGTCTAGCAGAGCTGTGTGAGATAACAGCCTGCTCAGAAAATATGATTGAAGCAGTTGTTTTCATCACCTGAAGAAAGAGTCTACTGAAATGAGCATCTGTGACAAGAAATAGGACTTGTCTTTCTTGCTTTGTTTTAAATTGTGCTGCCATATAAATAAATGATTACCTTCGTTCCTGTTACATCTTCTAGCAATACAGGTGTGACCTGACTGTGAACCCACTACCCCTTTCATCAGAGTATCTTACTAGCCAATCGGTGTGTTTGCCGAATTCTAATTAAATTGATTATATTCTACGTTCCTACTTAAATGGTCCCCACAGTCTCAGTTGGCTAGTATATTCCACACTGCCCCTCCTAAATTGTAGGCAAATTTGCTATAAATGGCTAGCTATGGTATTTAAGCACAAGCAGTTGTCTTTCTGTGTCATGCATAGAAATCCCTGTGTATTGATGGAAGCGATGCACTAATCAGGCTTGTAACGGTAGGTCTTTACACGGGCTTAGAGAGCGTGTGTGACTCTTCTGCCATGGCTACAGGTCAGCATTTGTCAGCAAGCCATCAGGGATGAAATCCTAGCTTCCCTGAGGCTGCTCAGCAATGCTGGTTGTCCGAGCTATTTCCCAGTCTGTCTTGGAAAGAAAGTGAGGTGTCTCATGTTCCGTCAAGTGGTAAATATGGGCAATTAAAACCTTTCATATGGAGATCACTGAAGACATATTCTTATTACTCATGTTAACTGGATTGCTTACTCTGTACATTATTGTTTTTAAAAATGCATTGAGTTAGCTGTAATTAGAACCTGGACTCGGTAACTTTTGTGCAGCTTCAAAAGTTCCATGTGATGCTACTCAGCCTATAAGAGAAGACACAGTGTAAAGTGTGTTGGTTTTTTTTCCCCTGAAGACTACTGTTTTACTTAATGAAGCATGTTAAATACTCTCATAAGGCATGTTTTTCTGAAAGCCAAAAGCATAAAAAATAGGGATTACTGTATATTGTAATACAAAATCCTGTAATGCTTTGAAACATCAAACTTTTTTAAGAAGTCTGGGGTTTAGATGGAATGTATGAATAATATTTACTAGCAAAATATTTTTTGCTTCAGGTATATACATCTTTCTTGCCTAAGTCAGCTCTTCTTTTCAAGTAGCTCGCAACAGGGCTTGAAAAATGCTACATGTAATTGTACAAATTGATGTCATTCTGCAGATAAACAACCTTTCTTCTTTGAAAGTCTTTCATACAATCTTCCTGCAAAGGTTATTTTTCTCTACATGAAAATTGCCCCATCTCACAAATCAGACTCTGACTGTGTAAACAGTGAAATTCCCCAGTGCCCAGCACTGTGCTCTGTTTTTTAAAGCTTTAGATAAGATATGTCCAGAAGCTGATGCTGGAGTCAAGGTCCTTTGACACCAGCAGTCCCAGATTTGTGATAAACACTTGAAAGGAACAATATGCTCATCCTTATGAAGGTTATATTCCACAATGATAATGTATGTGTAATATAATTAAACTTCAGAAGGTTTTAATACCTTTGCAGTTCATAGCTAACCAAAAACAAACAATGAAGGACTATGTGTGGAGATAAGATATTCATTCAGTCTTGTATATCCAATGGGTGAATACTTGTGATTGAGCTATTGCCTGGCTGTAAGGCAAGATATCAGCCTCTTCTCCTAAGTAGAATAGCAGGTAAATATATAGTCTGTCAAATTTTTAGTTCAGCTATGTCTCTGGCAGCTACCTAACCAGAATGCATGTTACTAATTTTATTTAAAATGCCTAGGTGAATTACATTTACAGTATGCTGTAACATATTAAGCATTTGTAAATGTGGCAAAGAGAAAACCAAAACCTAGAAAAACACTGGCAATATAAAAATGAATACTTTTTGAAGCCAGTGATGGAACTTCTTTTTCTTGGCTCAGTAGGAACAGAATTTCGTCCTTAAAGATTAATAATCGTGAAAGAACTGTGGTTCACATTTGGAAATGTATGTCTCCATCCTCATAGATGCTGATGCTGAAATCCCCGGAGCCCCTGGTGCACCACTGGACGTGCAGTGCTTAGATGCCAACAAAGATTATGTCATTGTCTCCTGGAAGCAGCCTGCTGTTGATGGAGGAAATCCCATCCTCGGATATTTCATTGACAGGTCAGTGAGCATGCCAGACTGGAGAATTCATATTGCTGTGCGTTCTAACTCAAAAACCTAAAAGCACATTGAAAAGCATGAGATAAAACGGTCATTGTTATTTTTATTCTTGTTGCTGGCCAGAAGAAATTTTTTTTTTTGGTTTTAGATTGCCTGGGCCTGATCTAACTTTCACAGAAATAGTTACGTCCTGCTTCATTTAACTACGTAGAAAGCATTCTGCGAGACACTGTGTAGCTCAGCCCTCGCTGCTCCCCGTGAGGCTTGAGAGGCCTCGGGACTTTGCAGTTTGGTAGCTTACAAGATCAGCTCCTTCAACAGGCAGCTGTGGCTCCTTCTGTATCAGTGTTCTCCTGCCCTTTCCAAATAGTTACCACGTACCAGAAAGCAAAATATTTTCTCAAAGGGAGTTGGATTTCTTTTATGTGCTGTTGTTTTCCAAGCTCTTAGATTCACAAGCTTCATGCAGATCATGCTTATGTGTTTTTCTCTGCAACAATAAGAATTAGAAATAATTTTTAAAAATATGAAAACTGAATGTGTCACACAGTGGCAGGACTCCAGAAACTTGGGATTTAAGAAATTCAGTCACTATTTTAAGACTTGCAATGATCTGCAGATTTGGTAATATTTGTTTGAATTTCAGTAACAGAACACATCATTAGTAATAAAGAGTTCCTATGGTCTAATTCAGATGCATGTAAAAAAAACCCCAAACATTTTTTTAATATCTATATATTTTTATA